GTAGAAGTGATCTGACGTTTATATTTTTAGCCATGAAGTTACAGGCGATTTAGGTAGAAAAATCATGGTGAAATCAGTTTCCAACTATCAGGATCAGATTTTTAATGGTTAGATTTTATGTATGCCATGCCAAATATACTTCGCATGCATGGTAGATCTGAAGATGTAAGCTATATAATCTTTCCTTTCCCTTTACATGTTCTAAGGAAGTGCTTATACTTGCGTTTGTCATGCTATTTTATATCTCACTATTTGTTAACTTGGGTTTAAGGCAATTTTCACATTTTTTTTACTTATTTAATCAGTCGGCTATCGAAATACTGAGACTAAAATCACGACCGAAGCAGTCAGTTAAATGATTCCTCCACGGAACTAATGACCCTTATTCATGTTTGATTACGGCTTCGTTGCTGTCTGGTTTGTCTGAAATAATTGGATCTTTTCAAACAACAGTTTTTATTAGTATCCTTTCCGCAAAACTTCTTTCCCAAGTTTTTTGATCTTCCTATCTGCTAATACCTCACCCTATGCTTAATTGAGGCATCTCCACGTCTGATATATTTATCTATAATTTTTTCATTATTAGTCTTCGAACGACGATTTTTATGGTCTTGTACTCGGTCCTGCACAAGATCAGCAGACTGGTACATCTACAAAATCCGCTAAAGAGTCGATAATGGCACTCTACGCCAGCACAATTAACAATAATCCATTCTATAGTTCTGGAAGCCCGGCCCTCGTTTCTAGCGAGGCAAATATGTTTCAACAATTACCTCAGAATTGCTCACCGTATTTAGGTGAGTTTATCGCCTTTTATATCAATAATCACTTAGCTTTTGCCACTCAAACCCAATTCTGAATGTATTATGGCCTCAACTTACCATGCAACCACAACTTTTGGAATAGTAGTTTTTTGTATGGGTATAGCCTTTGATTAGTAAAATGAAGGTGTGATCCCTATCAATTACCAGGGAAGGACTAAACATATACTTGAATTTAACACAAGTTCTGACAAATTGAATTTTGCCTTTGGTCATTATTCTTTATTAATCTTTGAGCTTTTGAGTGCACATTTTTATATTTTT